AGGTCGCCGTAGGTTGTAGGCTGTAGGGAGATTCGAACTGTAGACCTGTAAGGTAGGAGTCCAAGTAGAGTCCAGAGGCCTAGCTGTAGTCCTTGTAGAAGGTCGGCAAGTGGTCAAGTGGTGAGTCTAAGGTAGGCCCACGTTTTCAGACGAAGACAAGTGGCAAGGTCAACAGGTAGGACCTCAGTGCAACTGCACTGAGTCGACGGTACGACTGCCTACAGTCAGCAGAAGGGTCTAGAGAGTCCCAGTCCAGTCCAGCAAGTACCACAGGGGGACTGTGAGCACCAAGGGCCGATGGCAAAGGGCAGACCAACGAGTTTCTGAAGTATAAATCAAGAGGCAGCGCCCAGCCATGGGGTCATTCCTGCGTGAGCCATGCGGAAGCGCTGCCACAGCGACTTGTGCAAGGAGGTCTGCAGATGAGCCCGGAGGACGCAGTGGGCTAGAGAGAGGGAGTTAGCATAGCGATAGGGTAGATGCAGCGACAGCTGCCATAGCTATAGTTAGTAGTAAAGGTGTGTGTGTTCGAGTGTTAGAGTGATGCGTGTGGGATATCCAGGGTGATCCAGTGTATGTGAACAGTGAGATGTTTGGGCGCTGAAGTCGCCATAGCCAATTGAGAGTGAACTTGTATCTGAAAGCCATATCTCCGAGTTTTGAGTGGGCGCATGTCGCCAGTATGCTGCGTTGCTGTTTACATGCATGAAAAGTGTGTTTGAAAACGAGTCTGATTGCAAAAAAATACAAAAACAGTCAATGCGGAAGGGGAATCGGTGGGCGACTGGTTGCAAAACACGAAACCAAAGTCGAGCATTCATCCTCAAGAGGAGAGGTTGGTTGGCAATGACCAATATGATAGAGCAGTGGAAATTTGAACCGCCCCAACAACCCCTCACAAACGCGCCATTTAACCAGGTGCTGTGGATAGCATCGGCCTGCCAGAGGCCAGCGGCCCCAGGGGAAGGGTTTTGAGAGGCCACCGACTACATGCTCAACAATAAAGCAAAGAACAATTAAAAAATATAAAAATTTGACACAGAATCACAGACTACTTTGCCTGCATCACATATGCGCACGATTGGCAGGGGTGAATGAAAAATCCACAACAGTTCGATGGTCCAGGGGTGAATGAAAAACCCACCATCGGGGAAATGAGGCTTGGAGATACTGGTGGCTCAACAAATAACAGACAGACACAAAACAATGGGAAGTCGGTAAATACTAAAAAGTAGATAGGAAATACAGACCAGAAAATTAAGTAATGAAGCATCCAGTGTTCTACCCCTATTTAATATTTAATATTTATTGATTTTTTGTTGAAAAGCCGCAAAATGCTGTGCGGTGAGTGCCACGTGGCCATGCACCATACCAGCAGAGCATGTTTTTTGGTGGTTATTATTATTTTTTGTATTCCTAGATACAGAAGAGCGTACAACCTTCAGAACAACTCCTGTGCAAGTAGTACCAATTTTTCTTTTTGTCCCATTGGGCATGAGAAATAGCCTCAACGAGGTCTTTGGAACATCAATGCTGACCATTGGGCAGCAACATTACTCTCCCAGGAAGGTCGGTAAACTTTCAAGAAATTTCAGAGCCAACAGACCCGAGCCAGAAGGCTACCCGACACTGGGCTTCCGAGTCTAAGGGCCGGGAAGCTGAATCAAAAGCACAGCAGCAGCCGCCATCGACATGGGAATCCATTAGTGCTTGCCGCGGGAGCAGCATGGTGTTGTAGTGCTACCAAGAACTCTCTGTGAGAGACTGTAATCAACAGCGGCTGGGCGTCACAGCTGTAATGTACCATAGGCATGTAAGAGGGAAGACGTTCACACACACACACACACACACACACACACACACACACACACGCACACACACACACAAACACACACACACACACGCACTGGGCGTCACAACTGTAATGTACCATAGGCTGCAAGAGGGAAGACGTTCACACACACACACACACACACACACACACACACACACACACACACACACACACACACAGAGAGTGAGAGAGCTTCAGGTCAGTTGCCGAGCGTTAGTAGTGAGAGTTAGTTCTTGGTTCTTCTTTGCTGGGAGCAACAGCGGCCCTGCCGAAGTATATGACCTTGTTTGCATAAATATTGAGTGTCTTCGCTTGCACCGCTGAAGTGTGCCGAGGTGCTTAACTCTGTTTGGCACGAGATGTTCGTTCTGAAGTTTGGTCTAACTGCATCACCATTACGCTCGCCTGTCAGTTCCACCTGCTGTTTGTGAACATTCTCATTGCTTAGCCAAGAACGGCAGGGCGGCATGGGAGTACAAATCAATTGTTCAGCAGAGGATGGCAAGAAGGCATTAAGACGGGACAAACCAGAGAGTGAAAGTCATAACGAAGTTTCCACACTCACTCTCGTCCCTCAATTCCGCCCGCAAATTGGGTAGCAGCAGCTTCAGCTTGTCGATAGAATCAACGCTGCATGCAAGCACATACAAACCCAGAATCTTGATCGTCAGCCCTACCGAAAACAGGCAAGCACGATTCGCAGGCACTGAAGCTTAGACCAACATCATCGAACACGGCTAACAAGCCAAAGAAACTGTTTCAGCACTGATGCGAAAACACACCCACATATTCGCTCATCCTTTGTCTCATGCCAGCAGCTTGACTCCAAACTATTGTCATCAAAAGCCAATATTTTAAACATCTGTCCCATCCAATACATAGCATATCATCGGAGCTGTGACAACACTGGAATGTAGTGATGTACATCCGAGATATTTCCCCCTCAGAACTGATGCAAACTCTATTATCCCTCCTGTCAGGGATTCTCATATGTAGTTTTTTGACACTGCAACACGTCTACCAGCCAACTTACTTAGTCCAGCAATTCATTCCAGCTGCGCTTCTTCGACCAAGCACCTTGGAATACGACTGTGATTCGCGACAGAAGGACAGCTTTGCTTTTTCCAACTTTGATATTCCAAGTTTGCTATTCCAACCGGATAGCAAAGCTGTCCGACAAGCGTGCACCCAGAATATGCGTGCAAGTCTTTTGTATGCATTTGTGTGTGTTCATGGTGGGTGGGTTGTTTGTATGTCGTTGTGTATGACGGTGCTATTACCCATCCACTGTGTGCATGAGTAGTCCCCAGTTCTTTTCAGGGCCGTTGTGGTAGTGTTTGTTTCATTTCTTGTCATTTCTTGGGTGGTGTAATGACCTGCCAAACATGGACTGAGACACACAGCTGATTTCTGAGTTTTGCTCATGGAATGTATGCCTTGCTGAGTTTCCCGCTTGTTGCTGAGTTTTCTAAGTTTGTGTGGCTGCGTGCTTGCTGGTCTGCATGCCTGTCTGAGTGCTTGTCAGCTTGAGGGTGTGTGTGACCCGCAAGGGCACTTATTCAGACGGCCTGAAGGGCGGGTTCTTACCTGTGGCCGTGACATTGAGGGTTGCAGCGGGGAAAACACTCAAGTAGCAGGTAGGCTGGTACCACACCAAGTAGAGGTAGATGTGCCGGGTACTCTTTGTGTGTTTGTGTGTCTGTCGGTGTCTGTCTGTGTCTGTCTGTCTGTCGGTCTCTGTTTCTATATGTCTGTCGCTGTTTCTGTCTGTCTGTCTGTCTGTGAGGCCGAGCAGAAGAAGACAAAAGTTGGCATTTCTTATAGAGGCCCAGTAGTTGTAGGCGAGGTCTAGACGGGTACCGGTCCAACCAGTCTGAGTCTAGGGCCTGTACGGGCAATATCAGAGTCTGCAATGATGTTTCCCTCCGAAAGGGAGGAGGTACCGGTTCCTTGGAGGCCCCGAGGAGGTACCGGTTCCTTGGAAGTCACTCGCCTAGAGACAAGCAGGCCGCTATATCTCCAGGGAGCAAAGAGCACCTCCTCATTGTCGGTGTGCGAGTTTGGCCACACACTGGTTGGAGCGTTGGCTGGAGCAGCACTAGCATCAAGAGCAGCGCTGCTGGGGAGGAGCAAGGACAGGAGGAGGAAGAAGACCAGGACTAGGAGGGAGGAGCGCCAGATGGTACTTACCTGGCTATAGTCCACCATCTTCATCACCTTGGTGGGTGCTGCATCTGGAAGACCCCCGTTGGGGTAGAGCTGCACCAAGAAGCTTCGAGGCAGAGCCAGGCATGGCGGCCTTAGCTAGAGCAGCCATAGCTGCCTTGTGTTGTCCTTTGACACAGCAGAGCGCTGAGCTAGATCAGCCATAGCTGCTTTGTGTTGTCCTTTGACATAGCCACGGCCGTGTGAGGAGGAAGAAGGGTGGCCATGGCTATGGTGGACCTCGTGTGATGCCTGCAGTAGAAGAGGGATTCAGACATAGATTCTGGTTCAGTCATTCAACATTATTATTATTATTTCTTGTTTGAATAAGAGGGGAGGAGATAAGGAGGAGAGTGGTCTTTGCTGGTGTACATCTTCTTCTTCTTCTTCTTCTTCTTTCTTTCATCTTCTTCTTCTTTCTTTCTTCTTCTTCTTTCTTTCATCTTCTTCTTCTTTCTTTCTTCTTCTTCTTTCTTTCATCTTCTTCTTCCTTCTTTCTTCTTCTTCTTTCCCTCTCTCTAATCTCAAGCTCGTTCATTTCTTTTCGCAATTGGACGGCATTGTACTTCTGAGAAATGTGTACTTTGAAATTGGCCAGGATCATAACAGTGGCATCTCCCCACAAAGTTTGCTACGCAATTGCACTGTAGACCAACCGCAGCTCGGAAAGTACAGAAGAGCTAGTGCTGGAGCACCACTCGCCTTCGCCGCTTCGCGTACTGTTGCATCCATCCACATTTCTTTGCAGAGCCCACGCAGCGCACATTGATTTGGTCAAGCGTCAAGTGGCGATTCCCCTTCACGATCTTCAAAACTTCTGATCGGCTGCCGTTCCCAACCATCTACCTGCTTAGACCCACCAACGGGCCAGATGAGAGATTTGCTGCATTAAGCTGTTTCTAGAGTGGCAAGGATCTACACAACGGTGTTAAGACAGAACACAGTGTTCATCCTGTCTTTTGGCCCATGATTGAACTTGCCAACTTCGGGATAACGTTTCCACGGCAAGGATTGAAAACCCAACATACACAGTTCCGTAACTTCCGTCGTCCTCCATCATGCTCCTCCTCCTCCTCGTTTTCTTCTTCCTTTACCACTGCTCTTTTGCTCTTGAGTCACACTTTCTGGAAGGAGCCCGCACATCTGAAGGGGCAAGTGCTCAGCACCCAAACTAGACAACAGAACTCAAATCTATGGATTCACTGCAGCAAGCAAACTGACGACTCGCGCTATGCCAGCACCTGACCATAGCATCTCCTATTAACCCTTTTTTTTTTTTTAACCTCCCATGAATTTGACAGTGAATGCAGAGCAAGTGATACATAAAACAGTCCTTCAGGACATCCGTTAAAATTCAAATGAAATACAGAGAAGATTAGCATGGCCCCTGTGCAAGGATGACATGCATAAATCGAGAAATAGTCCAAATTATAATTAAAAAAAAAAAAAAGTGATACATAAAACACTGATGTGAACTTGTACCATTTAGAAAAAAGATACCGTTACCTGCCAAGCAAAGGGTAAACCACCAGTGCACGGCCCCCGCCTTGCAGAAAATGAACTCATCCCCACCCCAAGAATTCCGGGGGTCGGGGAAGGCCCAGTAGCGCAATGGGGGAGGAAGCCGGTGGGCCAAAGGAGAAAGGGCCGACGGACTGCATGTTCTCCCACTGTTTCATTCCGTGCATGTGGAAACGCACGCAGAGACAAAACAGGGCTCAAGTTGAAAGTAGGCAGAAAACAAAAAAGGAGGAGCACAAACAAATGCCCGCCAGATGGCTGTTAACCATTGAGTTGGAGACGGAAGGTCCAGCAGAAACGAGGCAGGCGCCTGTTTTCACAGGCGCAAGCTTTGTTTCCTTTCTTTTTAAAAGTCAGGTTTTTTTCTTTCTTTTGTTTGTTTGATTGTATCTGTACCCGTCGCGAGGATAGGTACGGGTGCAGTTTCAGAAGGGCCTGATCTGCCTCGTTGGCAGTGCTTACAGAAAAAGAATAGAACCTGCTTACTTTTTTGAATGCTGACCGTTGTAATGGGCAGCGAGGGTTGAAAAAAAGTCTCCATCTGGGCCAGGAATACAGCCACATACAGACAGGAGTTCGATGTGGGGGCAAGCAGCAGAGCCCCCAAGCCATCATCACGGCCATTACCAAACAGAAAAAGAAAGCAAACAAAAACAAAACTACCACAACCACCTCTAAGGGCATACTCACACTGGCACTTTGCTAAATGTACCTTATTGCACTGTCGTCCAACAGGAGCAGAAAACAGTCCCGGCATTAGTTTTTCTTCTTTTTTTTTCCCCTCCAAACCTTTTGTTGCCCTTTTTCCCTACCTCGCAATTCGCCCTGCCATGTTGACAGGGCAGTTACTTTCAGCCTTTTGTCCATTGCACTACCAGTAGTTCTCTTTTGTTTTAAGGGGCTGTGGGCATTGAAGCCAGATTTTCCATAAAGGCATTGCACACGAGCGCGGAGCCTCTCTGATCTCTCAGTCCATTGCATCCTACAGAAAGACAACCACCTCCCTATGTTCTCAATTCTTCTACCATCGAGATTATTGCCAACCCCTGAGCAACAACAGCATCTCCAATCGCATGCACTACCAGTCGAAGACGAAGAGACGTCAACACGAAACACGAGGTCGCAAATGTTAGCGTTTGGAAGATGGAAGGCTCGGAATGGTTACGTATTATATGCGCAGAACTGATAAATCAGCTGTCAAAAATTTTGCTCTGCAGGCCGACGCATAGATGAAACAAACAGGCCAGCACCAAAGACATCATTCTACCCCCTGCTACCTTCAACTGTACCACCCTCCTCTTCCACCGAACAGAATGCACACTCATTATGCCGATACAGGCCACCAAACAGGCAGGCAGTGTCAGAACCACGAGGTAGCTTGTGCACATTCTGCCCCCTGCTGCCTTCAACCGTACCACCCTCTTCCCCCGAACACAATGCACGCTCGTAATGCACCCAGAAGCAAGGCAGGCAGTGTCCCAACCAGACAGGGCACCAAACTGGTCCGGAAATGCAATGCGATGTTCACTGACCGGGAACACAGCCAACCACTACTGCCTTCACCTGAGTAGAACGCCCGGTCATTCTCGCTGCATCTGGACTGAAAATTGCCCCAAAATACAGTGATAATGACCGGGCGTTCTACTTGAGTGAAGACCGTAGGTTTGCTTTCTCCTCTGTACAATGATCAGGGTGCGTTACGTCGCTGGGAAGACGGTACCAGAAGCAGGATCGTGCGACTCAGGCAAGCAGTGTCCCAAACAGACAGGGCACCAAACTGGTTTGCTTTCTTCTTTCATACCTCACGAAAATGCAATGCAATATTCGCTGACCGTAAAAACAAAGGCAACCACTAGGTTTGCTTTCTTCTCTCATACCTCAGCGATGGCAGAGCCTAGCAGCTTTGCTCAATCACTCCATAGTCATGTAGGCCATAGCAAGACCAAGCAAGCTGCATACACAACATCAAGTCATGCATTGCAAAGCATAGTTCTGGCAATAGCTAAGAAATCCGAAGCGAAAAAAAAAAAAGAAAAAAAGAAAAAAAGCACACAGAGTTTGCACCAATGCCTCCCTTGAAATCTGCCCCTTTCATTCCCACACGAAGCGAAAAGAGCGAATGGCATCCACTCACCCAAGCGATTGTAATCCCGAAACGAACTCGGATCGCGAGAACTCACACATGGTTGCTGCCTTCATATGCCAAGCAATCACAAGCTGACGCACCATAAACGGCCGAGAAATGCAAACAATGATCAATACCAACCTACCCGGCTTCATCAACTTCGTCAGAAAGCCATCTTAAATATCAGTGAATGCACCCATACTCAACATCTGCATCAATCTTCAGCATCCTGACATCATCTGACTGTCCCACACCAAAAATGTGACTTTAAGCTTTGTTACACAAGATGCACAAGAGCGTTGCCTCAGCGACAGAACGAGAACAAACAGATAATCACAACAGGCACGGCACCAGAGAGCTCCAAAAATATCTCGGCCCCCGAGTGCAAATAGTCGGTGACAAGTTGATACATGCCTGGGAATGTTCTGTCATAAAAACTAGAACACACGTAAGCGACTGCTCTGCTGCACTAGGCAGCACTTCTCTTTGGCAGGCAGATACCAAAGTGTACCAGTCCCCGGTAAGCACATGCATGAATGAATGTCCGACCCATAAGGCCATCCCTCATCCCTGCCCCGCAGCCGACAAAAGCATGGAGTCTACTGTTGACATTACCTGAGAAAGTGCGTCGGTCTAGACTCTAGACACTCTGAGATGAAAGTTCATGAAACACCCAAGGCATGATGATCTCAGAATTGAAACGCAGGGAGATGCCAGCACACTCGCACCAATAGAAAACAAAAAGTTACCAAAAAAAAAAAAAAAAAAAAAAAAACACGATATGGCCCCTCAAGTACACAAAAATATGCCAGACCAGTGAGGGTTGAATATAGAATACAAGCTACACATAAATCCATCCCACACGAGGACCTGTGAACACACACACACACACACACACACACACACACACACACACACACACACAAACACACACAAACACACACACACAAACACACACACACACGCACACACCAAGCTACGCAAAACGAAGCTTTGGAAACGAAAACCAAGTATGAAAAACGACAGGGGTCGGAACGATATCAAATAACCAAGGGCACCGGGCAGTGATATGCTGGCCTTAGTAAAACCCCACATCACCAAAGCTTCTAAGGCGACACCCCCAAGACATGTCATGGGCCTAAGAAGGCATCAAGGATGCAGTCTCCATCCAGAAGCAAAAACTACTTCAGCCGCTTGCACATAACCTGAAGGGCGTAAAGTTCCGTAAACAAACTGATGATCATGAAGAATATGCAGGTTGCCAGGTCAATAGTTGGTTGGGGGAATGGGCAGAGATCGGTGGCACTCCGCTGTTTGCATCCTTGAGTCCCTCAGCATTTTTTTTGTGCCAACACTGACCGTCTTGTTGTGGTGGTCCGCCTACACATCCCGAGGAGCTCCAAGGTCATGCTGCAGCAGGCGTTTGATGATGTCAATGACAAGTGCATGTTGTCTTGAGTGAGCTCGCGGCAGGACTACAACTGCACGTTGTCTCAGCCAAACTCGCGGTGGGGACACAACTGCACGTTGTCTCAGCCGAACTTGCGGTGGGGCTACCTGTTCCAAGGAGCTATACGGTCAATGCAGTGGCTTCTCAACTTCCTGATAACAGAGCCCTATTCCTTCGGCTAATTCATGTTCTTCTTCTTTTTCTTTTCTTTTCTTTTATTTTTTGTCGAAAATTTGCACCGTTTCTTGATTTATGTGTGTCATCCTTCCGCGGGGGCGCTAATTTTCTGTGTATCGTTCCAACTCTGACGGATGTCCCAAAGGACAGGCTAATTCATGCTCCTGGATGAACATTCCTCAATCCCATCCAATGCTACACAAGGTCATTTACCGTCTTCACCCGAATAAAACGCCCGGTCATTATAGCTGTATTCAGGGCAACTTACAGTCTAAATACAGTGATAATTACTGGGCGTTCTGTTGGCCACAGTGTCTTCTTTTTTCAAGTTTTTTTCCCCAGATTCACTGAGCTGGTTATTCGACGAAAGTCGTCAAAAGATATAAAAAAAAGAAGACACTGTGGCCAATTTCAACTCCAAGGGGTTCGGGGTTTTCTCATATACAAACCCATATGAGAAAACGCTGAAAATTAAGGGGCTTGTGTCTGTCTCAAAGCTCTTTGGCTTACAAGCCAATCAGTGGATAAAAGGCATCCACAATATACGCTTGTGCTACGAACGCATAGAGGCAGTCATATGCGCAGACCGTTTAGTATGTGACTTCTTTTTCATTCTTTTAGTGCTGGCAAGCCTGGCATTTTGTTTTTCTTTCCTTTCTCAGGAGTGCTGTCGTTCTCTTTTTCTTTCCTTTGCCAAGAATTCAGCACTGCTGAGCTTCACAAGGACACCATTATCCCCGTCCAGCATCAGCATGTTCCGCATCTTTGGGAAATGAAGAAAGACTGCTGAGAAAGACTTCAGGTGTGAGCAAATCTCAGCGCACGGGAGTCAATACGATGAAGAGAGGCAGAGAGTGGGTCTACTCCTCATAACTAAAGGGTAAGCCAGGTGAGTTATCCATATCACGGCTCACCAGCCTCACAAAGAGAGAGAGAGAGAGGGGGGGGGAGAGAGAGAGGGAGAGAGAGAGAGAGAGAGAGAGAGAGAGAGAGAGAGAGAGAGAGACTTAACAACATCACCTATGGAGAGCGATGAACTGCTCCGTGGTTGAGTTTACTGACTGGATAGGAGCAGCTGATACACTTCAGAGTCGCCAGATGTACCGAGTAACCATAGACAGACCATCAAGTGCAATTGCTTAGAGTGCAAGTGCAATTGCTTAGTGCATAGACAAACCATCTAGCGGAGTGGCTTGGAAGCTGCTTCACAATCACGCAGCCACAGATGAAATCCATGTAACCCAGAAATTTATGTACTAGTTTCGCGTCACTCTCAGTGTGGATTGCGTAGGGCACACAGCGTGATCTAGGCCGATGGTTGTAAATATTATGGGCAAAAATGCTATTGCGGCATGGTTTTCTATGAAACTATGGACCAAAGATGCCGCTATGCTCTGAAGGCGAATTCGGAGACTGCGCACTTCCGATATGCATACAGGTATTCTGAGATTTTCTATCTTTTCCGACTCCGTGCACAAAAAAAAAAAAAAAAAAAGGCATGCACAGTAAGCAATTTCCAACCACTACTCTTCTCCTTTATACTGCTCTACCCTGCCCATGAACGATTTTCAAGCAGTACTCCTTTCCTTTGCAACCACTACTCTTTCCAGCCCAATCTCTCCACACCGCATGGTCAGAACGGGAGTCAGCTCGACACCGTCCAGCCCAGCAAACGACCTGTCCACACCTACGACAACCATCAACCATCAGTCAGTGCACTGAGTCCCAGCCACCAGCCACTGAGCGGCCCAACCGCTGCCAGCAATCGAACACTGACTCGAGAGTGTAGCTGTTCCTTGAGCTAGCAACCGACATCACTACCGATGACTCATACCGCCGGTGCACTGCACCCAGCCAGTGAGAGGCCGGACTACCTTCCAGCAATCCACCGCTGACTCAGAGTCTAGCTGTTCCTTCAGCTAGCTGCCGACAACGAAATGGGAATTGAAAAGTGGAATGATGAAGAAGGTGGTCCCCACCGCTTTGTCCCAAACACCATGCGCTGTCCTCATTAATTTATCAAGCCATTTTTTTTGTGTCCGATATATGGAGTCATGACGAGGGTGCATTGGGTTCAGGAGAAAGACGACAATTCGATTCTGGGCTCCACTCCACTCTAAACACCATAACTGCAAAAGCACTTACACAGCGATTATTGTTCGCATTATCCAGAGCTTCAATTGATGCCCAGTAGGTCAGGAACCACGTAGCGAAGCGATTTCTCCACAGTCAGCATACTCTCAACTCCCAATCAGGCAGAGTCGAGGAGTGTTCACAATTCCAAGGGTTCAACCAGATACCTATACCAATACGGATCTACCTGGACACCATCTTCACCCGAATACAACGTACGCCGTACGGTCATTATTGCTGCATCTAGACCCCATGTTGGTCCACCTACAGCTAGAATGACCGTACGTTCTATTCGGGTGAAGACGGTAGTCCGAAAGCCATGCACTTAACAGCATCACATGCAAAATGAGCCGCGTTGGGGCTGGCCGCTCTTTTTGTAGAATTGACCGGCCTTGGCCTGCCTCAGCCTACCTCCTCGAACAGTTGAGATTTATCGATCTGGGAGGCCCAGATTTTCTGTCTGCCCAATGCGTGCCTGGACCCAGTAGGCCCTGCAAACTTCTGGAGCAGTACAGACAGCCTTCGATTGCCCATCAGATATGCGACCATGGTCGACACCTACGAAATTTCTGACTTGTGACCTACTTGGAGTATTGGATAGGGCGCAGAGGCAAAACTGTTCAACCACCCTTATTGCTTTTGAACTTTTAAAGATGTCTCTTTTTTTTTTCTTTTTTTTTTTTTTCCTTTTTCTCTGTTCTCCCTCCCTGCTGAGCACTCTTAAACTATCAGCGTATCAACAGCTGTTCGAATTTGTTCTCATCTGCACTCAAAAAACTTCACGGATTGGCGCAATCCTATCAAGACCACAAATAAAACACGGGATTTTTTTCTGAGTGCAAGTCCCATCACTAAAACAAGAACCCGATGAACAACATCATCTAAACATCGACAGCCACAAGAAAGTTTTCAGACCAAAAGACCAACAAATTTTAATTGGTGAGCACTTAGCCAATACCAGAGATCAAGTGCAGATGGTGATCTGGATCTGAGCTACAAATGGGCCGATGCCAAAAGAAGAAATTCTATTACCAGTTAGCCCTACGTTTCCCTTTGGGACAGCGGATAAAAGAGACTGACTGCAAAGGGTACCCAAAAAAAAAAAAAAAATGCTAAAAAGCAAAACGGCAACAGACTTTAGAAGATCGAGACCAGAAATCAAATGTGCGATAAGAGGACAACAACCTCAACAACAGTGAATCGTCATAAAACTACATTTTCCGTGCCGGAATAGAGGGATGCCGCAAGGACTTTGGGGGGGGGGGGGGGGAAAAAGAGAAAAAAAAGAAAAAGAAAAAAGAATTCATGATGGGCATCAGCTGGACGGTCGGAAGCAAGCTCATCTTACCATCACAATGTCACCTGGGTCGACCTGTGCACATAAAAATCAACACAACGAGGAGCACCCGCACAATCACAGCAGAGTCAGAAGGGTGTCGACTCTCCCTCCAAGGGATATACAGATGCTTTCTGCCATTTTTTGTTCTTTTGTTGGCCCAGCCACGCAAGTGGTCTCGGGCAAAAGCTCCCCTGGCCCTTCCCCCAGCCATGCAGTAACCTAGACGTTTTTAACTTTTTCGCACAGAATTTCTATGGGACCGTGACGCAAAAGCTGTTCAGTTTTTTCTCTGCATAACATAGCATTTTTCAGAGTTTTTGGATTTTTTTTTTTTATTTAAACAGGGACCTCCCCTGGCCCTTCCCCCAGCCAGTGCGCCCGGGCAACCATAGTGACCCAGGTGGCCCGGTTGGTAACACAGCGCGATGCAATTTTTTTCCTTTTTGGCTGCCACCGCCAGCCAAGGAGATCCGGTAGGCCGCGCCCCAAAAGTCGCGGGCCCGTATACAGCCACATTAGAACAAAGTAGCCAGGAAACTTACTGGTGGTTTATGATAAGTTTTTTCAACATACAAAAGTCGTTCGTGTTTTTTTTTTTTTTCTGTATAACATAGTATTTTTCCTGAGTTTTTTTTCTTTTCACAGGGACCTTCCCTAGCCCTTCCCCGGCCAGTGCGCCCGGGCAACCAAGGTGACCCAGGCGGCCCGGTTGGCAACACACAGCACGATGCACTTTTTTTATTTTTTTCCCCCTTTTCGGCTTGCACCACCAGCCAAGGAGATCCGGTAAGGCCAAGCCCCTCAAGTCGCAGCACGTTATACACCCACATTAGAACAAAGTAGCCAGGAAAGTTACTGGTGATTTAATGACAAGTTTTTTGTTTTTTTGTTTTTCGCCATACATTCTGGACGTGCTGCTATTTTCCCAACTTCATGACAAAACAACACACGACTTTTCGATATTCCTAATTGTATATCATTTCATGTTGACTCTCAAACCTTGTATATCAATTCTTGTTAGAGATCGCCAGCCGGCAGCTACAATTGTTTTTGTACCATGGCACACGCCCGCCTGACCGGGTCGCTCGATTTCCCTGCCGCCCACAGGTTTTTAAAGTTTTTGAGATCCCCAGTAAAGTGGCTGACATACCTCCAAGGCATCACAGAATTGCTGAACGCCCTCTGCTAGAATCATGTCCATATTCGGATCTGGAGATTCCGCATTTCATCCAATCAATCATATCAACACACAATAACCATCACAATAGTTAGCATGAATCAAGACGCAACAAGATGATGGAGCACCGCAGAAAGAGAAACAACCCTCAAAACTTATCGGCATAGGTAATCGCCGAAGTTGCCACGACGCTCACAAAACAGAAAGAGACAGACCAAGAAGAACTAAATACCAAGACGGGAAGCCACGAGAAAGCCACAATACTCAGAAAAGGTGAAAAAAGTCCACTGAATCCTTCACATAGAAGTTCGCAAGGTACAACCCAAGAGCCTAGCTCAGTGGGTACACCCACCATGAGCTGTTGAAATACAGACCTGAGTTCGAATCCAGATGATAGAACTTGATTGATGAGTAAAACCAAATATGTATCTGAATTGCCTGGGGCCGGTCAGCTCAATGATGATATCTCAAGGTCATCACCCTTTAAGGAAAAAAGAAAAAAAAAAGTTGGCAAGGTACGGACGCTATGAATGGTGGGGGGGGGCTGCAATGACCTGCAGGTTTGCAGAGCTCAAGGGCCATTGCCATGACTTAAGCTGCGACCTATCTTGACATACCTATCTGGCCACCCTGTATGTCAAGATGCATTCAAGGCCTTGCCACCTTCTTACACACCTTCGGCGTTCAAGGCCCATTTTCCATAGTTCGTGAATGATGTGGCAGCACCCAACCACCATTCCGAAAGATTGACAGGAGCAAACAATGCTCATGCATTCTGAATGCGACAATGCTCACATACAAGTACGAAGCAAGCAAACAACAATGACACATACAACCAGGCAATCACACAACTAAAGCCTTCCCAAAACATTTCACTCAGCATCTCCATGCAGCCCAAATCTTTAGAAATTAGCTTTTCTTTCCAAGCGGTTCGTGAATAGTACACCACCAATCTGAAAGATTGACAAAGTGCCAGCAATGCGGATGTGTTCCTGAACGGGAGAACGTTCACATACAAATACCGGGCAAGCACCACATACAAATACAAGGGAAGCACACACCAATGACACATACAACCACGAACTCAGCATGTAAAGCCTTCCAAAACCTTTCGCTCAGCAACTTCATGCAGAGCCCACACCTTACGAAATTTGCTTTTCTTTTCCCAGCGGCTTTTATTCGCCTCTTCCAATGGCTTGGAGAGCACTTGGTATGGCTGAATAGATGACCGTTTTACTACGGTCTATCAGTTTACTGAACTATAATCTTGACTCGATAACTCGTCTATTCCATGGCTTGCAATTTCATAATCGCAGGAAGAGTATGTGTATGTGTTCCCTCCTTCACATCATTACCTTTAAACCTCTGGTAAAGTTCGTCAAGTTTGCTGACATCGACTGCGGGCCTTGCTGGAGGCTGGTTAAAATAGTACTCGAATGCCACTTCCACGTTCCATTCGCATGCTCGCAAGGCTGCGAGTGCCACTCTCTCACTACATACACCATCCAAGAAAGCACCAGTCAGGTTTTCAAATAAGCAGATCAGTCTCGATTATCCGCACTGATCACAAGTAACAGTCCTTCCACATTTCAACACCACAAAAAAAAAAAAAAAAGACAGTAAGCCTATCACCGTATCACCTTTTCGAAAATCACAGGTACACACAGCCCCCGCTGCCCACTGGAGCACCCTTCAACATCAATCACATGCCTTGTTGCTCTGAACAGAAAACATGGGCGTTAAACAACCACTACCTTTCTGAGTGTGGGGAAAAATGGGAAAGCATCATACTCCAAAAAATTCGGAGGTCCCGACGAGGCTCCGCAGGAAAAAAGAAAAAAGAAAAAAAGATTGGGACCCTGTGGGCCCACCGTGGGAAAAAAAAAAACTTCGAATCCAGCGACATCAGGGAAGGCCCGCACGGAGGTGGAAGTCACACGAGTGCTTTGAGGAATGTATCTGGCCACTATGTGTTGAACGTGATTGCTATTGTTTTTTTTTTTTTTCTCTCTCCTTCTTTTCATTTCATTTTGGTGCCCTGCCAGTGAGGCAGGGCGTATTCCACGCCGGGCAACTGACTGCCTCACTCACCTCATACTCACACTAGTACTGTAGCGTCATTCATCGGACCGCAATCACAGCACAAGGAATGTTTATTTATTATTTTGGTTCTTCATTTGTTGTTCATCGGACAGACGCCCTCACTGAGGGCACAGTCACACTAGCGCATTGTAGAACGTATCTTATGGTGATATGCGTTAGGGAAGTTTCTTCTTCTTCTTCTTCTTCTTCTTCTTCTTCTTTTTTTTGTCCTTTCTTGGATTCAACTGCCGTGAGTACAAGAAAAGAAAATACAATGGAACCCGGCCTCCACAAAAAACTCGGTGCGTAGTGATTTTTTTTTTTTTTTTTTCGTAGTGAAATTCGGGTTCGGCAAAAAAAACAGGATCGGAGGCAGTGGTAGTGGCTTGATAATAAAGGTTATGACACCACCAGTACATTTCCAGGCCATTTGGTTGTGAGGCAGCAGTTGACACACTGCATCCTTCGGGGCTCGGCCTACCAAACGGAAAAAGACACTACAAGCACCACAAATACGACACCAACGCTAATTCAACAAGGCTTGGCACTAGGCAGAAATCCGCATAACAAAAAAGAGGCTAGTACGAAGTGGTGGTATAAGCACCGTAAGACGTTTTCTATCTTCCATCTGCAGCGAAGAAGTGTGTTAGTCCAGTCCTTCCGGGGCATCCATTAAATTTGAACAACAAGCAGTGCCACACAGCAACACAGCAAATGGTCCAAATTTACTTAACGAAAGAAGAAGTGCTGCTCTACTTGGCACTCAAAAACTCAAACATCCCCACAAGAAAACGATCACATTTTGAGATGAAAACACATGTACAGAAGGAGGTTTGTCTGCTGAGGGGAATATACACAACAGCTTGAGGCAAACCACCTTTTACTTCCCCTTAACATTACTGTATTCACCCAACTCTATCAGAATTTGAAGTCACAACCTGTTCACTAACAGTTACATGTGTGCACCATTCAGCCAAATGGACCGGGTTATGTTGCACATAGAGAGACACAGAGAGAGAGAGCAAGACAAGAAGAGACAGAGGGAGAAAGACAGAGACAGAGACAGAGACAGAGACAGAGACAGAGACAGAGACAGAGACAGAGGCAGAGACAGAGACAGAGACAGAGA